GTGGAGAGAATGTGTGATAGATAAGCAAGTGTGTTCGTTTACCAATAACACATGGAGACGTACGCGTCTAATTTTGCACTCTGTCCTATACATGTGTCACACTTTAATAAAAACGTCTGTTTACGAAGACAATGGCCCAACTATCCCTAGAGTGATGTCTGTGGGAGCAATTCCCTCCAGGAGTGTGCTGCAGCCCTGAGTTCTCTGAGCCCCACTCTACCCTCTGTGCCCGACAACTTCACCATTCACTTTGCTTCATGGGATGTGCAATGAGGAAGAGACGAATAAAAATAACTGCTGCCTGTCTAGAACTTGCCTGGATCCCAGCCAGAGCAGCCTGGAATCAGAGACTCCTCCCTAAGAAGTGAAAATTCAACCCAATCTGTAAGAGCAGCCGGCAAGCAAGCCTTAGAGTTTAGAGTCCGTGAAATGCTGCCCTGCCCTTTTGTTTTGTCCACAGCCCCTGGGCTTTAACACTCTCTAGTGTGGCCTTTGGGGTTCCCTCAGAAACCCAAAACTGAATTTAGTGCCCAGACCCACTCCTGTGTGCAGAGATTTGAATGTCCCTGCTCCCCAACACTTCTGACCCCAAAATCATCCCAATCTGCTTCAAAGACACCTGAAAATAATTCATTTATTCACTCAGTTAACATTCTGAGCACCTACCGTGTAAGCCCTTTGTAGTGCACTGATCATGGCTGTGATTATATACTGAGTCTTGTGAAAGATGTCAGCTTCATGAACAAGGCACTCATGTAAGGATTCACCATCAAATCCTCAATACCTAACCCCAGGACCTGGCCCAGAGGGGCTCAAGCACTTCAGGGAAGGAGTGGGAATCAAGAGTGTGAAAACAGTTAGAATATTATACAATACAATGTAATAATAGGATTGAATGTCTGGAATAGGTGTTCTTGTATGTTAACAATGTTGCATTCTCTCGGGTACCTGGGTGGTTTAGTTAGTTGAGCATCTGACTCTTGACTTCAGGTCAAGTCATGATTTCATGGTTCATGGGGTCGAGCCCCGTGTTGGGCTCTGCTCTGACAGCGTGGAACCTACCTGGGACTCTCTCTCCCTCTCTCTCTAACTCTCTCTCTCAAAAATAAGTAAATAAACTTTAAAAAATGCTGCATTCTCCCAAAGACCCTCAGAAAGGGGTTCCTCATTAAAACTTATCATCTCATCCAGAATTCTCCAATTCACTTTCGGCTCACTAAATCAGCCAGCAAATTAGTCTCTCTTCTTGAGTCTGATCACAAAACTAAGTGAAACATAGACCTGCCTCCAAAGAACTGAGTAACATGAGGGGTCATTTTGGGGGGCTTGGTAGAAGAGCACCTTCCTAAAAACGTTGTATACCATACCTTCCCTAATGCCTGCACATCCCTGTGGAGCAGACTCCACTGTTGACTTCACCTTATGGATGAAAAACTGAGAAACAAGAGGTTAGTTAACTTCCTCTAGAACAGCTTTTCCCAATGACATTCTCTGGCAGACAGATAAACTCTCACGTTATTCTATGGCTTCTTTAAAGTATTCACCCATCAGTTAATTCAGTAAGGATTTATTGAGACTCTAATTAAACCAGATATGGTTCTAGAGGCTGAAGATACAGAAGTGAACAAAACACACAAAAGCCCCGGCCTTGAGGATCTTATGTTCCAGCGAAGTAAAGAGGAGCTTGGGAGACGGAAAATAAACAAAAAGCGAATGGTGTAGGCCAGGTGGCCAGCAGGGAGGCGGTATCCCAGGGGAGAACACGGAGTGCAAAGCCATGCTCCAGGAGAAGCAGGTCGGTGAGGCTAAATGCAGTGCTACGGGAGAGAGGAAGGGGTGAGGGGTCAGGGAGTCCAGGTCACAAAGGCCGCTGTGACGTGTGGTCTGTATTGTGCACGCAGATGCCATTGGAAAAGCTTTGCAAAGCTCGAGAGTGATAGACTCTTCTTACATATATGTTATGCGTATTAAATTCTTCAATAAGCCAAGTTTTCTGTTGTTGTTGTTTTTTTAAAAGATTTCACTGCACCATATGTCCTGATGGGATGCTCTAAAATACAGCGTCACTGGGGCGCCTGGGTGGCTCAGCGGTTGTGTGTCTGACTTCGGCTCAGGTTGTGATCTCACTCTCAGGTTTGAGCCTCACGTTGGGATCTGTGCTGACAGCTCAGAGCCTGGAGCCTGTTTCACATTCTGTGTCTCCCTCTCTCTTTGCCCCTCCCCTGCTCATGCTCTGTCTCCCTCTCTCTCAAAATAAATAAACGTTAAAAAATTATTAAAAAAATAAAATAAAATAAAAATAGAGCGTCATTGGTGCAATATTCCTGCCCAAAATGCATAGCCTGTATCACATGAGGGAGCCTCAACAAACCCAGCTTCAGGAGTCTTCCACAAAACAAGTGACTGGTACCCCAAAAATATCAAAGTTGTGAAAGCAGAAAAAAAAAAAGCTGGGGAATAGTTGTAGATTAAAAGATATAACAGGGATACCTGGGTGGCTCAGTCAGTTAAGCGTCCAACTGTTGATTTCGGCTCAGGTCCTGATCCTCGGGTCGTGGAATTGAGCCCCTTGTCAGGGCTCACGCTCAGCGTGGAGCCTGCTTAAGAGTCTCTCTTCCCCTCTCCCTCTGCTCCCCACTCTCGCTCTTTCTCTCTCTCTCAAATTAAAAAAAAAAAAGACATAACCAAAAAAGGAACGCTTGGCTGGATCAATCAGTAGAGCATGTGACTCTTGATCTCGGGGTTTGTGAGTTCAAGCCCCACATTGGGTGTGGAAGCTTACTTAAAAACAATTTTTTCAATTAAAAAAACAAAAGACATAACAAAAAAAATACATAACTGAATGTAATATACAGTCTTGGTGGGATTCCACACCAGGGAAGAGGGAGTGCCATGAGGCACATTATTGGGACAATAATGTAATTATTGTATATAATTGTATGTAATTACAATTAGTAATATGTAAATATGGGCTGTGTATTTGATGGTATCAGTGTTACATTTACAAAGTTTGATAACTGTGCTGATATAATACGATATAAGAATGCCCTTGTTCTTAGAAGATACATGCTACAAAATTTAGGAGTAACAGGGTATGATGCCTACAACTCAGTCTCAAATGGTTCAGCAAAAATTATTATTATTATATTTACACGCACATATATATGTGGAGAGAAAGAAATAAAGCAGATATGATAAAATGTTAACAACTGGTGAGTCTCCGTGAAAGAAATACAAGAATCCTTTGAACTATGCTCGCAACTTCTCTGGAACTCTGACATTATTATTTTAAACTTTTTACTTTAAGAGTTTAAAAATTAAAGCAAATGAACAGAAGAGCAGTTTCAATCAGCTTACACCAGGCCAGCCGCACAAACACAGGGCACAGCAAGAAGAGACAGAGCTTCCTTGAGGCCAAAGCCCATCGGCCCCTGTGCCCAGAGCCCGGACCCTGCTCTCCCTGCAGTGAGTGGGCTCAGCCTTGCCCAGAAAGGGGCACGGGGCTGCCCCTTTCTCTTGTGACACAGGCTCACCCTCTCAGACCACCTCCACTTCTGGCACTGGCGTCCCCAAAGCCAGGCAACAAATCTCGTCGGTCGGGATAGGAGTTCCGTCCTATCTCGGCTTTCCCGGCTGCTTCTGACGCTCCTGGGAGGAGGTTCCAACCCACCTGCTGAGGGTCCTGGGTCGTTGGGTCCCACGAGTGCGCACATGGAAACCCAGGCTCCAAAACTCCCTTCTGCAACCTGTCCCCAGCACCCTCTGCCCTGCTCTGCCTGTATTTGTTACAGATTTGTAAATACGAAGGCATTTGTATTTATACTTACAGCCCCATCCCCCAGTCCTCCGGAGCCTAGACTGTATCTTGAAGCACACAGGGGTGCCCAGGATGGGTCTTGCCCAGGCTTCTAACAGGCCCTGCACAGACACGACCCAGTGCCGCATGCTCTTCCCTCTGCACCCAGAGGGGGCCTCCTCTTGCTCTCAGCCATGATGCCCCTCAAAGAGCCGCTGGTCTAGAATGCAGGCTCCCAATGTAGAGCATCCTGGACTCCATGGTCAGAGAAAGGGGGAGGGGAGCGACCCTCAGCTCTGGGGCTTCCAGATATTGTCTCTTTCTTTCCCCCCTTCCCGACTCCCTGCCTCAAGCCAACATTTCTCTAATAATTCTCAGGTCCCTAGGGGCACCTGGGTGGTTCAGTTGGTTAAGCTTCCGACTTCAGCTCAGGTCATGATCTCAAGGTTAGTGGATTTGAGCCCCGTATCGGGCTCTGTGCTGACAGCTTAGAGCCTGGAGCCTGTTTCGGATTCCGTGTCTCCTCCTCTCTCTGCCCCTCCTTTGCTCACATTCTGTTTCTATCTATGTCTCTCTCTCTCTCTCTCTCAAAAATAAACATGAAAAAAATTTTTAATAAATAAATAAATAATAATAATTCTCAGGTCCCTATAGTCTCTGGGCTGCTGGAAGCTGCCAAGGCCTGAGGGACCAGGCCATTTGGGCAAAACGGCTGTTGGCCGCTCCCTTCCCCTCTGTGCTGTTTTCCTGCCTCGGGGGGTCATCTGTCAGTCTCCACTTTCCAGAACCACCCAACTTCCTTAGAGAAACCCAAGCCCGGGGGCCACTTCTCTCTGCTGGTAATCATGCCAAATTAGAGCAGATTTCCTTTGTGGTTCTTACAGCCAGCAGAGAGGACACTATCTCCCCACTATGCAGAGAAGTACATGGAAGCTAGTAGAAAGGAATCTCCTTGCCCCCGGCTGCCTGGGTTGCTGAAGTCATGGCCAGACAGACGCACGTCTCAGGGACTTACCACCCACACGACGGCCAGCCTGTTCCTTCTGACCCGACCCGTCTGGAGCTGTCAGGAGCTGCTCAGAGTCACACTCCCAGGTGACCTTGTAAGTGGCACGATCCAGAAGCTCTGGGCTCCACTCCCCCTGCGGGCCACGGTCCCAAGTCCTGCCCCTCCCCCAACCCACGCCAGGCTGGGTCTCCTTACCTTTACCCTGATGCTCCTTGAGGAACAGAAGCGTGAGGAGAAGAGCCAACCCCAACATCCCCAGAGGACAGACGGGTCACCGGCTCCTCTCCCACCAGACGCGCTGCTGAGCACGGGCTCAGCCCCAGCCAGTCGGCAGCCGAGTGACTGACGCGGGAGCAGAACTGCCTTGCTGCTTGTCCGGCCACAATTTCCTCAACTCAAGGCTGTTCTCAGCAGCTGAGAGCTAACAAGGCCACTGAGAAAGTCCCAGTACCTGGACCTGGTCCGACAGTTCATACAAGCTGAGCTTTCAAAGTTGGCCTCAAGTGGGCGGGTGCTGAGAGTTCACAGTGACTCACGAAACCGGCTTCCAAATCCTGTCCCTGGCTCTGCTCCGACTGGGCTTCCTTGTTCAAAGAGTAGACGCCTAAGACACGTTCTAGCTCTCTCCATCCTCCTGGCAGGATGCAGAAGGCTGCATGGGGACCCCATTCCAATAGGCGCTGTGAAGGTGGGAGGGCTGGGGGTGTGGGCTGAGAAGTGGAGCCCTGACTAAGGGGGTGAAATGTTGCAGGAAAGGAGCACAGGGCACCACGGAGGTCGAAGACCTGGGTCCGCTCTGCAAGGCTGATAGCCAGGTCTAAGCACATGCAAATTGCAATGTCTTTATCTCCTTCCTTTCTGTGCTTCTCTATCCCCTCCTTTCCTCTTTTTCTACTTTCCCATAGTATTCTCTCAGCCTTCTTGCTTTCTCTCACCCAGACAAGACACAAACTCACCGCTGCTGCTGCACACACACACACACACACACACACACACACACCGGGCCCACACTTCAATTCCACACTCCAAGGCACCTTTGATCCTTCTTATACCCCATGAAGAAGGACACAAGGCAGCATCCCACCTTCCCCAGAAAGCATTTGCTTTGAGGTCTTCCCCCAGGGCTCCCTGCCTTTTTCTTTCTTCTGATTTCCCCTTAGCAGCAAATACTTTCAGTTCCTTTTAGGTCAGCCCTTTTCATTTTCCATCCTTTGATCCATTTCCAACCACCCCAACTGAAGCTAGGCTGGAGGGGGACAGACAAGAGCCTCGGTTACCAAGGAAGGAAGCAGAGAGTTCTGGACAGAGTGCAGAATTGGAGTCAAAGACATAGACTTGAGTGTCAGTTCAGCAACTTAACAGCCTGTGGGATCCTGGCCAAGTTACCTTCTGAGCCTGTGGGGTCAGTCCTTGGCCTGGGTTCCTCACAGGGTATTCAGGATCAAAGCAAAAACTGTATGCATGAAAAAAATTCAGGACAGAGGTAAGGTTCCATGTTTCTTAACATGGAGAGAGAGCACGAATACGAGTGGGGGAGGGGGAGGGGGGGCGGGGAGAGAGAATCCCAAGCAGGCTCCATGCTCAGGGCAGAGCCCAACATGAGTGTCGATTCCACAACCCTGGGATCATGACCTGAGCTGAAATCAAGAGTTGGACACTCAACCTACTGAGTCACCTAGGGTCCCTCCCTTTTTTTTTTAAATTTTATTTTTCTTAATGTAACCCTGAGTGGCTTATTCCAGCTGGTGCAATAGCTATCAACTGTGCTCTTCTATGTCTCCTCCCAAGGGGCAGCCTCCACCCTTAGATGAGGCCAGAGCTTATCTAGCCATGCCCTTGACCTTGAGAGTGGTGCCCAAGACTGATGCAATAAGGGTAAATTTCCTGCCACAAAAGATGGAAGACAAAGGCCGACTGTTCAAAGCAACTAACAAGCAACATCTGCGAACCAGCTTCACTGATCCTGACCCCAACACCAGCTCCATCCTGTCTCCATCAGCTGAGTGGATGACCCACCAGCCCTGGACACTGAGCTGGGACCAGACATGCCGCTTGTGTCTTGTGGTCTTGTCAGCTAGAATGCAACGGGAAGTTACTCAAATCAGCAGAAGTGAGGAGGGGAAGGGACAAAAGCAGGGAAAGAATGTGTTTTGTTTTGCAGAACCAACAGTTCTGGCCAAAGAGATGCACAAAGTGAAGGCGTGCCTTGCCCAATCAGCCCCTTATGCGAGCCAGCATGGGCTGGATTGGAGCTGAGGACCTCTGCAGAAGCCTCCCTAAGTTGTCCTGAAATTACCATTAGCTCATCATAATACTAAGATCTCCTCTGGCCAGAGTTTTCTGCCACTCTTGGAACCTACGTTGTATGCACCGGCACGTTAACATGCTAGGCAGGTGCAATTTAACCAAAGTGCTTTTGTAAGCTTCCTGCCCAAGTGTCCTAAAACTCTGATTGAAAGCTTCCTGTACTAACCCCATGGGAGACAGCACTTTGAGAGCTAATCTCCCTGTCTTCTTACTTGTAGCAAGCAATGAAAAGCTCTTTGCTTTCAAACTTCCTTGGGTTGTATTCAATTTCATGCACCTCAAGCAGCAAGGCTCTTGAGTTTGGTTACATTCTTAACCATACTCTACCACATGACAAATGCTGTTCATCTACACTGCCCTGCCTGACCCTGAGTGCTTCATCATGAAGTCTGTGCTCTCCCTAGCTACTCCTTCCAGAGCCTGGTCTGGTGTCTGGTTCTTAATAGTCAGTTACAGTGTTGGGGGCTGAAGGAATGAATGACTTCCCTGCAGAAAGCATCTCCATTCATCCTGAGATAATGCTGGTGGGCTAAGCCATTACAGTGCTGCCTTCATGGGGTTTATAACTTGCCCTGCAGGGTCCTTGTACAGAGCGTCCTTCTGTGCAATTCAGCCACTTCAGCATGAAGAACCAAGACCCTACAAAGTCCACATGAACTCAAGGACCCTCATAGCCCCACTTCCCATGCATATTCTCCAGGTCTCTGCAAGTCTGGGACATTGAAAACTCGGTGACCATCCAGGAAGTACCCGTTCATCAACCCCCACCCTCTCATCTTCCTTTTCTCAAACCATACTTGCATCATGTTTCACTGAGTCAAGGTCATTCTTGTGTCTAAAGCCCAACTGCAAAGTTCACAAGTCACCAAGACCACTGATTTGTAAGAATAATTAAAAGTTTGGTGTCCCCACGACCCTCTTCGGTTCTGATAAGTCACTATTGATAATTCAGCTATTAACATGTGAGATACTTATGCCTTTTGACCTAGCAATAACCCCTCTTTGAATTTATACAACAGAAATACTCTAATGCACCAAAAATATTTTCACTAATGCTCAAAGATAAGTAAGTTTCTTACAACACTGTTAAGTAAACTGAAAATACCTAAAACGTTAATCAATGGGGAATTTTAAAAATGGTGTATTGATTCTATACTACAGTATATTAAAAAGGCTTTAGGGGCACCTGGGTGGCTCAGCTGGTTAAGCATCTGACTTCGGCTCAGATTATGATTTCACAGCTTGTGAGTTCAAGCCCCACATCGGGCTCTGTGCTGACAGTTCAAAGTCTGGAGCCTATTTCAGATTCTGTGTCTCCCTCTCTCTCTCTGTTCCTCCCCTGCTCGTGCTCTGTCTCTCTCTCTCTCAAAAATAAAATAAATATTAAAAAAACTTTTTTTAAAAAGGCTTTAAAAAGAGTAAGACAGGCACCTGGGTGGCTCAGTCGGTTAAACGTCCAGCTTCAGCTCAGGTCATGATCTCACGGTTTGTGAGTTCAAGCCGCACGTTGGGATCTGTGCTGGCAGCTCAGAGCCTGGAGTCCGTTTTGGATTCTGTGTCTCCCTCTTTCTCTGCCCCACCCCCACTCACATTCTCTCTGTCTCTCTCAGAAATAAATAAACATTAAAAAAAAAAAAAGAGTAAGACAGGACCAGCTGGGTGGCTCAGTCAGTTGAGCACTGACTCTTGATTTCATCTCAGATCATGATCCCAGGGTCGTGGGATGGAGCCCAGCATCAGGCTCTGTACTGAGCATGGAGCCTGCTTTAGATTCTCTTACTTTCTCCCTCTGCCCCTCTGCCCTGCTTGCACTCACAATCTATCTCTTTCTATATATTAAAAAAAAACAATTAATTAAAAAAAAGAGTAAGACCAAAGTATATATTCACATTAAAAGAACTCTAAGACATTCACAAAACAATCTGCATATGTAATTCTGTTTAGGTGGAAAGAACTGAGTGTGTATATTTATGTTCTCTGAATGGTTGTAAATGCAGAGAAACATGCCTGGGGGACAATATTCGTACAGTAACCTTTAGATAAAGAAACAGAATTTTAAGAAGGGGTGAGTGAGAGGGTGACTTACTTTTTATCCTTACATATATACTTCTGTTTGGAACTTTTTACAATGGCTATCTTACGTGTGTGATGATTGAAAATATCAGTTTTCCAAGTTCTCAGGTTTTCAACTATATAACATAAGATCAATGCATTAGCCAGGGCTTTCAAGGGAAACAGAGCAATTAGGAGACAGGCACACACAGATAGAGAGATAGAGATAAAGATAAAGATAGAAGTAGAGATTTATTATGAAGAATTGGCTCATGCAAAAGCCATTGTCCTGGTTCAAAAAGCCAGAATTCGAAGCAGGCTGGTTCAAAGACCATCAAGCAGGAAAATTCTCTTACCCGAGGGAGGGTAAGCCTTTTCCATTCAGGCCTTCAACTGATTGGATAGGGGCCACCCACATTGGGAAAGCAATCTGCTTTACTCAGTCTACCAAATTATCTTTTTTAAATGTTTACTTATTAATTTGAGAGAGACAAGCATGAGCAGGGAATAGGCAAGAGAGAGAATCCCAAGCAGACCCCATGCTGTCATTGCAGAGCCTGACTCAGGGCTCAATCTCACAAACTGTCAGATCATTACCTGAGCCAAAATCAAGAGTCAGACACAACTGACCGAGCCACCCAGGCGTCCCCTCAGTCTATCCATTTAACTGTTAATCTCATCCAAAATTCTTTCATAGAAACATCCAGAATAATGTCTGACCAAATATCTAGGCATCCTGTGGTCTAATCACATTGACACATGAAATTAACCATCACAGTCAATGACCAATCACTGTGATTAATCTGTCTATTTGTTGGTTTTAAGAAGGCAAAACTTTATAACCCAAATATATTCTGCAAGTGAATTACTGCAACTGTTTTTAGAAATAATAGCCCATTCTTATTTTTAATAATAATTTTTAATTTTTAAATTCCATTAAACTTTTTTTCTTAAGTTTATTTATTTTTGAGAGAGAGACACAGACTGTGAGCAGGGAAGGGGCAGAGAGAGAGGGAGACACAGAATTCAAAGCAGGCTTTAGGCTCTGAGCTGTCAGCACAGAGCCCAACATGCGGCTCAAAGTCACGAACTGGAAGATTATGACCT